TTTACGGCGTTTCACTTTACGGCGTTCCGCTAATACGGACATTTCAAATTATGACCAAAACTCACTATACGGCTCCCCCCACCTGACTTTCTAATACGGTCACCGTGCCCCACCCTGTTTGTTTACATTCTCCATGAGCTCAGTAAGCACTAAGTCTCTCCATTTTGTCTGGAAACTCCAAAATTTCAAATGTTTTTAAAAGTTATTTCATATTTTATATATACTCTGATAATTATACTTATGTATACCTGTACCTAAATAAACTTACATACATCGAGTCATTTAAATGTCGTATATTACGTTAATATACACATTTTCATTAATCCATCCATGATATTTTTTTCAAAATTATATAATAAACACGATGCATAACATATAAATAAGATAAATACACCCACAGTAGAATAAATAAACAAATGTGAGATGTCGTAGCAGACGACTTGCACAAGTGGTGATAATAACAATACTGAGTCTCATTAAATGTCGTATATTACGGTAATATACACATTTTCATTAATCCATCCATGATATTTTTTTCAAAATCATATAATAAACACGATGCATAACATATAAATAAGATAAATACACCCCACAGTAGAATAAATAAACAAATGTGAGATGTCGTAGCAGACGACTTGCACAAGTGGTGATAATAACAATACCGAGTCTCATTAAATGTCGTATATTACGGTAATATACACATTTTCATTAATCCATCCATGATATTTTTTTCAAAATTATATAATAAACACGATACATAACATAAAAAGATGATAAATACACCCCACAATAGAATAAATAAACATAAATATAAGATGTGGGAGCCACATAACTTGTACAAGTGACGCCAAGAATAACATTTTCTCTAATCTAACATAAGAGTAAATGTGTTACTGGGGGTAACTGTAGAAAATTATTCCTTTCGTATGTATGTAAGTAAGTTTATTCAGGTATACACAAATACAGTTACATAGATTATCATACATAACAACATACGTGTAGAGAACCTAGGATAACCCAAAAAAAGTCATGTGACTTATTTCCATTGCCTTCACTCAGAGCTTCATTTCTTCTCAAAATGATGTTACATGAGAATGGGAGTGTTCTTCTTTATTAATTCTACCGTATCAATGTAGAGACAACCTGTACACAATGTAACTTGTACACAAACCAGACGTGTACACTTCGTTTGTTTACAAAACTTACCTTCCCCTGGTTTGTTTACATAACTGCGCCTGCCCCCTCTCATGTATTCATTCTTTCTCTCTCTCATTTTATTCGTTTTATCTCATTTACTTACTCCTGACCCTACATTAAGACTACAAATATTTTAAGGTAAGTAATGAGTGAACTGTATATACATTTTATCGCTCTGGGATGCTTAAATATCATAGAATAGTATGTGTGGGTGGGGTGGCCTGGTGAGGCTATTACAATACATACCACACTTGATTTCTTACAATAAATACTACTTGTCTCACCCTAGATTAAGACTATAAATATTTTAAGGTAAGTAATGAGTGCACTATGTGTGTATTGTACCTTTTTATTGTTTTTTGATGCCTGGTTCTATTGCTAACTTAATATATGTTAGTGTAAACTTGTTATCTAGTGTTTGTATGCATTTATAAGTGGAAAAAAAGGGTGTTCCACTTTACGGCGATTTCCGCTTTACGGCGGTAGCCTGGAACCTAACCCGCCGTATAAGTGGGGCCTTCCTGTATTTTATGAAAAAGAGGATAAATAAATATACAAGGTATGATGAAGCACGTAATGAAAGTAGTTTGTTAGATTATGTATTGGTGGATAAAAGGTTGATGGGTAGGCTCCAGGATGCACATGTTTATAGAGGGGCAACTGATATATCGGATCATTATTTAGTTGTAGCTACAGTTAGAGTAAGAGGTAGATGGGAAAAGAGGAAGGTGGCAACAACAAGTAAGAGGGAGGTGAAAGTGTATAAACTAAGGGAGGAGGAAGTTCGGGCGAGATATAAGCGACTATTGGCAGAAAGGTGGGCTAGTGCAAAGATGAGTAGTGGGGGGGTTGAAGAGGGTTGGAATAGTTTTAAAAATGCAGTATTAGAATGTGGGGCAGAAGTTTGTGGTTATAGGAGGGTGGGGGCAGGAGGAAAGAGGAGTGATTGATGGAATGATGAAGTAAAGGGTGTGATAAAGAGAAAAAGGTAGCTTACGAGAGGTTTTTACAAAGCAGAAGTGTTATAAGAAGAGCAGAGTATATGGAGAGTAAAAGAAAGGTGAAGAGAGTGGTGAGAGAGTGCAAAAGGAGAGCAGATGAAAGAGTGGGAGAGGCACTGTCAAGAAATTTTAATGAAAATAAGAAAAAATTTTGGAAGTGAGTTAAACAAGTTAAGAAAGCCTAGGGAAAGTATGGATTTGTCAGTTAAAAACAGAGTAGGGGAGTTAGTAGATGGGGAGAGGGAGGTATTAGGTAGATGGCGAGAATATTTTGAGGAACTTTTAAATGTTAAGGAAGAAAGGGAGGCGGTAATTTCATGCACTGGCCAGGGAGGTATACCATCTTTTAGGAGTGAAGAAGAGCAGAATGTAAGTGTGGTGGAGGTACGTGAGGCATTACGTAGAATGAAAGGGGGTTAAAGCAGCTGGAACTGATGGGATCATGACAGAAATGTTTAAAAGCAGGGGGGGATATAGTGTTGGAGTGGTTGGTACTTTTGTTTAATAAATGTATGAAAGAGGGGAAGGTACCTAGGGATTGGCGGAGAGCATGTATAGTCCCTTTATATAAAGGGAAAGGGGACAAAAGAGATTTGTAAAAATTATAGAGGAATAAGTTTACTGAGTATACCAGGAAAAGTACACGGTAGGGTTATAATTGAAAGAATTAGAGGTAAGACAGAATGTATGAATTGCAGACGAGCAAGGAGGCTTCAGAGTGGGTAGGGGATGTGTAGATCAAGTGTTTACATTGAAGCATATATGTGAACAGTATTTAGATAAAGGTAGGGAAGTTTTTATTGCATTTATGGATTTAGAAAAGGCATATGATAGAGTGGATAGAGGAGCAATGTGGCAGATGTTGCAAGTATATGGAATAGGTGGTAAGTTACTAAATGCTGTAAAGAGCTTTTATTAGGATAGTGAGGCTCAGGTTAGGGTTGTGTAGAAGAGAGGGAGAATACTTCCCGGTAAAAGTAGGTCTTAGACAGGGATGTGTAATGTCACCATGGTTGTTTAATATATTTATAGATGGGGTTGTAAAAGAAGTAAATGCTAGGGGGTTCGGGAGAGGGGTGGGATTAAATTATGGGGAATCAAATTCAAAATGGGAATTGACACAGTTACTTTTTGCTGATGATACTGTGCTTATGGGAGATTCTAAAGAAAAATTGGAAAGGTTAGTGGATGAGTTTGAGAATGTGTGTAAAGGTAGAAAGTTGAAAGTGAACATAGAAAAGAGTAAGGTGATGAGGGTATCAAATGATTTAGATAAAGAAAAATTGGATATCAAATTGGGGAGGAGGAGTATGGAAGAAGTGAATGTTTTCAGATACTTGGGAGTTGACGTGTAGGCGGATGGATTTATGAAGGATGAGGTTAATCATAGAATTGATGAGGGAAAAAAGGTGAGTGGTGCGTTGAGGTATATGTGGAGTCAAAAAAACGTTATCTATGGAGGCAAAGAAGGGAATGTATGAAAGTATAGTAGTACCAACACTCTTATATGGATGTGAAGCTTGGGTGGTAAATGCAGCAGCGAGGAGACGGTTGGAGGCAGTGGAGATGTCCTGTCTAAGAGCAATGTGTGGTGTAAATATTATGCAGAAAATTCGGAGTGTGGAAATTAGGAGAAGGTGTGGAGTTAATAAAAGCATTAGTCAGAGGGCAGAAGAGGGGTTGTTGAGGTGGTTTGGTCATTTAGAGAGAATGGATCAAAGTAGAATGACATGGAAAGCATATAAATCTATAGGGGAAGGAAAGAGGGGTAGGGGTCGTCCTCGAAAGGGTTGGAAAGAGGGGGTAAAGGAGGTTTTGTGGGTAAGGGGCTTGGACTTCCAGCAAGCGTGCGTGAGCGTGTTAGATAGGAGTGAATGGAGACGAATGGTACTTGGGACCTGACGATCTGTTGGAGTGTTGAGCAGGGTAATATTAGTGAAGGGATTCGGGGGAAACCGGTTATTTTCATATAGTGGGGACTTGAGTCGGGGAAATGGGAAGTACAATGCCTGCACTTTAAAGGAGGGGTTTGGGATATTGGCAGTTTGGAGGGATATGTTGTGTATTTTTATATGTGTATGCTTCTAAAACTGTTGTATTTTGAGCACCTCTGCAAAAAACAGTGATAATGTGCGAGTGTGGTTGAAAGTGTTGAATGATTATGAAAGTATTTTCTTTTTGGGGATTTTCTTTCTTTTTTGGGTCACCCTGCCTCGGTGGGAGAGGCCGATTTGTTGGAAAAAAAAAAAAAAAAAAAAAACTACACTACTACTTCTTTCAACAAACCGGCCATATCCCACCAAGGCAGGGTGGCCCAAAAGGAAAAACGAAAGTTTCCCTTTTTAAATTTAGTAATTTATACAGGAGATGGGGTTACCAGCCCCTTGCTCCCGGCATTATAGTCACCTCTTACAACACGCATAGCTTACGGAGGAAGAATTCTGTTCCACTTCCCCATGGAGATAAGAGGAAATAAACAAGAACAAGAACTAGAAAGAAAATAGAACAACACCCAGAGGGGTGTGTATATATATATATATATATATGCTTGTATATGTATGTGCAGTGTGACCTAAGTTTAAGTAGCAAGACATACCTGAAATCTTGCATGTTTATGAGACAGATAAAAGACACCAGCAATCTTACCATCATGTAAAACAATTACAGGCTTACAGGCTTTCGTTTTACACTCACTTGGCAGGACGGTAGTACCTCCTTGGGTGGTTGCTGTCTACCAACCTACTACCTAAGAAATGCATACACATGTGCATTAATATTTAAAACTTAATTTAAAAAACTTACTTGAAGTAATAGTCGCCAGTTGAATGTGTCAAACTCGCGGCAGCACTTTTCACATCTGTACAATCCATTGTTCATGTCAATGACTTTCTTGTTGCACGAGTCAGCTGGGCAGGCACTGTATAGAGCGTTTTCCTTTTTTATCATAACAACTGTCGCTTTAGTTGTAAAATAATCAGCTTGGTCTCCACATCCAAGCTTCTCCATCTTGGCTTCTAAAATCATTTTGAAGTTGGAACCCATGCCTGAAAAATAACGATTTATTAATATAATTTAATTAAGTTTCCTTAGTGGTCATGGCATACAAAATAATCTAAAACAAATGCACATAAAAATCTTTTTCCAGCTATGGGAATTGCAAACCCTTCAACATTTGGTCCATTATATATAATATGACAAGAGACTTTTTAAATAGAAAAACTATGTTAATGGCCATTTAGGATAAATGGGAATATCATTATTGGTTTCTTTTTGCAAGTGATATAATATCATGTATTATGCCTTGTAGGGAAAGTAGCTGAAATTAGGGAGAGGTGTGGGATTAAAATAAGAAAAATCTAATACAAAGTGAGAGATGTCACAGTTGCTTTCTGCTTATGACACAGCTTTTGAGTCCAAGTTGGACCAAAATGTCATCTCTTCCTCTCTCCTGTGTGTGGGTTGTGTATAATGCTCTTAAAGAGTATCAATCATGGCATGCTTGTGTCAGAAGCCAAACATAAGTATGATATGGTTATCAGTATCTCTGGGAAGTTAAATCACCACCACCAGATACAGACCAAACAAAAGGTATACTTTGCCAGATGAACAATTGTCACACCTTGCATCATTATGTGCCGGAATGCGATAAAATATATGGGGTGTATAATAAAGGTAAAGCTAATAACTACACTGAACAAAGGGTAAATAACAGCAACAAATATATAGTTACAGTACCTCCACTACCACCACCTCTTTGGTTGGAAAGATTAATAGTGTTTGCAGAATTGCCACCATTGTCAAACCATCCCTTCAGCTTATGGGCTTCCCTAATATCAGGGTTAATCTGCAAGATAATATTTTATTTTAGTTTAGTATTTAAAACAACTTTCATCCAATATATATAGAAACCTCTTGAAAATTAAAAACTCTCCAAAATGCGCTTCTGTTAACAAATTAAAGAAATTCAAGGAGAACAGGGAATGGGGGGGAGGAGGGAAGTAGTTTACTTCCCACCTCACCAGTTATCCTATTGTCCTGCAGACTTTGTTCAAGTTTTAAAACAACCTCTGATGTTCTTGTACAGAGTGCTAACACCTGAAACCCTTTCAGGGTCCAGACCCCTGATCTGAGAATTATTTTTAGGGTCCAAGAATTAAAAAAAAAAAATTAAATGAGAATCTTTTCCCGATGTAATGAAACCAGAAGTAGGAAATTTGACAGAAAACTTACGGAATTATGCTCTCACAAAGTTAGCGGTCTCAGCAATATTTACGCATCAGTAATTTCGCTCATTTTGAGTCCTATCTTAGGCCAATTCCATTCGATCAAACTCATAGCTATTTCACTAGTATTCCTTCAATTCTATCAATTAAGTACAAGAAACTGCCCATTTACCTATTTCAACTACCCAATAAAGTGATCAGAAATCAGTGGCTACTCTCACCGCTGGTCGCCGTTGCCCAGCGGTGAGAGTAGCCACTCTCATTGCTAAGGTCCAGGTAATAACCCCTTCCTACTTTCCAGGAAAATGACAAAAATCTGGAATGCTGCCTGGAAGATGAAACAACAATTAATATTATATACTCAAGGAATAAAAAATAAAGAAACCCTTTAGTACCTGAAATGAGGATGAAGATAACAGTGACAGAGAACGTCCATTGAAATCTGATAATTTGGCTCCCTTTATAGCTAAAACAGGCTGTTGAGAACCATCAAAGTTTTCTGCTGTGGTTCCCCATAATGTCACACGTACCTGCATAAGGAAAACATTGTTTACTAAACAAAAAGGTTAGGTATTATGGTATATATTGAAATTTCTAATTATACACCATTATTATTAGTTCTGATGATGATTAAGGAAACACCCTCAATTTTCTCCAGTTCACCTAATACTTGAATTTTTTTTTTTTTTAAACTTTTTTTTTTTTTTCAACAAGTCGGTTGTCTCCCACCGAGGCAGGGTGACCCAAAAAAGGAAGAAAATCCCCAAAAAGAAAATACTTTCATCATCATTCAACACTTTCACCACACTCACACATTATCACTGCTTTTGCAGAGGTGCTCAGAATACAACAGCTTAGAAGCATATACGTATAAAGATACACAACATATCCCTCCAAACTGGCAATATCCCAAACCACTCCTTTAAAGTGCAGGCATTGTACTTCCCATTTCCAGGACTCAAGTCCGACTATATGAACATGCCACTCAATTCTGACAAAGAGGAAAACACTTTCACTGTCATTCATTATCTTGCCAGAGATGTGCTGATATCATAATTCAGTTGACCCTCCAAGCCAAAACATTCCCACCCCTCCAGTATGAAGGCACTGTACTTCCTGCCTCCAGGATTCTAAGTCTGGCTTACCAGTTTCCCTAAATCCATTCATAAATGTTACCCTGCATAGCACATCAAATCATAAATACCACTTGCCTACACTTGCTTCTAACACACTTACACACAGAGGAATATCTATGGAAAATAGCAACTATGGCAAGCACTGAAACTGCACCCCATCCAAACATCTGACACCCATCTTCTAGATAACTTCACCATAAAATCAGCACAAAAACACAAGTCAAGCGCATTAATTTTTTAATTAACAAATTATGGCACTACATGAAAATTACAACTGCACCTTCACTTTCACTGATGCAAATTAGTCTATGATGTGCTCAAATTCAGTTTTTTCAGTTTCTTCTCTATCTTCACTCAGCAGAACAAGATCACCGAGTCTGCTTTGACCCATGAAGGTTCTCAAAATACAAAAGTATTAGTTTTAACTTGCTGAATGATCTCGCACAGTTGACGATGGAAACTCAAAGTGACAAAGTGACTTCAATATTCCATTATCTGAACAGCAATCCGAAGATTGGGGAAGACGCTCTCATCTCCATACTGAACAACAAACTCAAGAAGCTATTCATGTCTTGGTATTTTCATGTTGGCCCAACTTGATAACAACATTCTGCAATCCAAAATTTCATCAAGTAGCTGTTGTCCATCAGCATCAGTTTGGAGCTGTACAATTTGCCCAAATTTTCGCACTTCTTCTTTAGTTCCCTCAACATCGAGAAGGAATCACAAATGAGTGAACCCTTCTTCCATTTCTCTGTGAAGACGGTCGAGTGTTCCCTTCATGACTCTTTCCTCCTTGGCTGTTAACCCAGTTTCCCTCCAGTTCTCATCAGCCATTCATTTCTTTGGTCTCTGACGTCTTTTAACTTCAATATTCCATTCTTGACAGACTGAATCCTCCTTCAAGTGACTCACTGACCAACACTCATCTTTCATCATCAAAATGACTTTGGAGGGCTTTCAAATCCAGGGCAGCATCATGGAAGTTCATGCTAGGATCCTGCAGCCCCTTCCAAATATGGTCAATGCAAATAGTACTTTGCTCCAAAATCCTAGTAAAGTCAGAAAAATGTAGCTCAACATGCCATTAAACAGCTGCCTCATATCACTCCTTGTTTTACTGGTCTCTCTTTCATTGTCTATCATGTAAAGTAAAAGGACACAAATGCAACTGAATGTGACAATTCAGATTCTAAAAAATGTGTAGCTGGTGCAGGAGACTCCATGGAATGTGTCGAACAACTTGTTCCGGGCTTTTCAAAGAAGGGCATGAAGAACTTGCTCGACTTCTTGGCATCCTCCACCTTCAACTTTCATCTCTTCTGTCCTTCAGCTCCACTTTCCTTCTTGTGAAGGAACTTTTCATGGCCTTCTTACACAATAAGGAAATGGCATTTTAAATAAGAAACTTCACAGATTTTGCACAAAATTCTAGACTACCTCCCTAGTTTATGCAGGAAAATGGTCTTACTGCCAGGTGGCACTGAGCAGTGGTACTGTGAGGTATGTAATCAAGTAGCTCCCAGCCCCTGTATTTTTACCTGCCTAGGTGGGAAATTGCCGGCGTTTGAAAAAAAAAAATCATACAAGTGGTTAAACAATCTAGCCATCCTAGTGCTTCTCACCCATGATAATCAAAGACTGATCATCCATCAGAAGAAAATTTTTTCACTATCCGAGGATGGGTTGTCTAATAGAACCTGCTCCGTGGTGCCCAGGGTGCATACCATACCTGCCATACTATAGGTACCCCACTACTTACACAAGCCTGTTAGATGTCCAAGCATCCAACAGTTTACCATGCCGATTTATGACCACACGATACACTGTTTATCATGTAATGACCTTTGATATACCTTTGAAGAGTTTCGAGAGTTTATCTACTCTCTGAGCCCAGCCAAGGGCCAGACTCGTCTGGTGTTTGCCTGGTCAACCAGGTTGTTGCTGCTGGAAGCCAGCTGCCCTACATATCCATCACAGCTTGGTTGATCTGGCACCTGGAGAGGCACCAGAGGTGAAGATACTTGTCCAGTTTCCTCTTGAAGGCTTCTACACTTGTTCCAGCCGTGTTCCTGATACCTTCTGGTAAGATGTTGAATAATCTGGGACCCCGGATGTTGATACAGTGTTCCCTTATTGTCCCCACCACACCCCTGTTCCTCACTGGGTTTATTTTACATTTCCTTCTATATCTCTCACTCCAGTATGTTATGGCAGTGTGCAGATTTGGGACCAGGCCCTAGAGTACTTTCCAGGTACACATATATTATCATGTATCTCTCTCTCTCCTCCTCTCCAATGAATACATGTTCAAGACTTGAAGGCATTCCCAGTAGTTTAGGTGCTTTACTGGCTCAATGTGAGCCATAAACACACACTATTTATTCCAGCTCTGATATTTCTCCTGCTTTGAATGGGGCCATCAGCACTGAGCAATATTCTAAGTGAGGGAGCACTAGTGATTCGAAGAGTGTCACCATCGGCATTATTTCCCTTGTTTTGAAAGTTCTCAATACCCACTCCCGTCATCTTCCTGGCTGTCATGATCTTTGTCTTGTTATGAATTCCTTTTCACAGGCACATTTTGAATGTGCTGTCATTTTGTGATTGGTGTGTTTTGGGTTCAAGGCATCAAAATAACATTAATAAAATACAAGAAGAGTTGAACATGTCTAGCTAAGCCAATGCCCTTATTTTATGTTTGATCACCATGCTAAGCAGTTTTTGGTGAAAAAGAAATAAATATTACTTTAGACATTCAATAAAACAAAGACTGAAGAATACTATAGTGATGAGTACTCTGAAGGATTTACACTGTTATCATCTAACAAGGTAGGCAAGATAAATTCAGACTTGAAATTAGATATTCTTGGATCCTCACAAACAAGGGTGTGTTAAAAGAAAAATTAAACTAATTACTGTACCTTCAAAGGAGAGTAAATGAGAAAATGGGGAAGTTTTTATCAGCAAATCTAGCTGTCAAAGTGTTGGATCAAAATTAACAAGTCATGAGAGTAAGGAGTGCAGAAACTTGGCAATTACAAATGAAAGAGAATATGCATTAGGAGGGGATGAGGAGGTACTGAATAGAGGGAGAGAATATTTTGAGGTTACTGAATGTTGTTGATGAAAGGGAAGTAGAAATTTCATGCAGAGAGAGAGAAATAGTTTCTCTTAAGAGTAAAGAGGCACCAGAGGTGAGGCACATTAAAAAAATAAAGTAGCCAGGCAGATGCTGAAAGCAGGTGGGGAAATGGTTTTAGAACCATTGATATATTTAACATGTGCATAAAAGAAGGTAAGGTATCTACGGAGTGGCAGAGCACGTATAGTCCTTTGTATTAGACAAAAGGGGACGAAAGAATTACTGTGGAACAAGTCTAAAGAAAAGTTGCAAAGGTTTGTGGACAAGTTTGGAAGGGTGTGTAAAGGTAGAAGTTGAAAGTGAACACAGATAAGAGTAAGGTGATGAGGGTATCAAATGATTTACATAAAGAAAAATTGGATATCACATTGGAGAGAGGGAGTATGGAAGAAGTGAATGTTTTCAGATATTTGGGAGTTGACTTGTCAGCAGATGGGTTTATGAAGGATGAGGTTAACCATAGAATTGATGAAGGAAAAAAGGCGAGTGGTGCATTGAGGTATCTGTGGAGACAAAAAAACGTTATCTATGGAGGCCAAGAAGGGAATGTATGAAAGTTTAGTGGTACCAACAATCTTAATGGGTGTGGGAAACTTGGTTGTGAATGCTTCAGCGAGGGGGGCAGCTGGAGGCCAGTGGAGATGTTCAGTTGAGGCAATGTTGTTGGTAGTAAATATTATGCAGGGGAATTCGGAGTGTGAAAATTAGGAAGTGTGGAGTTACTAAGAGTATTAGTCAGAGGGCTGAAGAGGGGCTGTTGAGGTGGTTTGGTCATTTAGTGAGAATGGATCAAAGTACAATGACTTGGAGAGCGTATAAATCTGTAGAGGAAGGAAGGAAGGCGGGGTAGGGGTCATCCTCGAAAAGGTTTGAGGGAGGGAGTAAAGGAGGTTTTGTCGGCGAGGGGTTTGAACCTCCAGCAAGCACGTGTGAGCATGTTTGATAGGAGTGAATGGAGATGAATGGTTTTTGGGACCTGACAAGCTGTTGGAGTGTAAGTAGGGTAATAATTTGTGAAGGGATTTGGGGAAACCGTTTAGCCGGACTTGAGTCCTGGTAATGGGAAGTACAATGCCTGCACTTTAAAGGAAGGGTTTGGAATATTGGCAGTTTGGAGGGACTTCTGAACTGTCGTATCTGAGCGCCTCTGCAAAGACAGTGATTATGTATGAGTGAGGTTAAAGTGTTGAATGATGATGAAAGTATTTTCTTTTTTGGGATTTTCTTTCTTTTTGTGTCATCCTGCCTCGGTGGGAGACAACCGAAGTGTTAAAGGGGGATGGGGGCTAGGCTGGATAAAGTGCATAGTAGATGTATTACTGGAAGTTATAGGAACGAAAGCAGCATTGTAGAGGAACAAGGATAGTACATGTTTAGATTTAAAAGTAGATTTCATTCTTTGTCTTTTGAGTAACTGATACAGGAGAATGGGTTATAACAAATGCTTACAAAGGAAGGATCCTAATTCATTTCCAAACAGAATTTAAAGGAAACACTAAGATGAAGACCTGTTAAGAAATTAGAAAACAAAACAGATGGCTGTATATATATACATATGTATACCTACACAATCGTCTGAGTACCATACACTGGGTGTCAGAAGCAGTATAAAGATTTATATACTTGTTATTTCATGTGCTCATGAGATGAGAGGGGGCAAGCAGTCCTGCCAATGTAAAATAATTAACAGGTTTCTGTTTTACACCTGAATGCTTATATTCTAAAGGAGGAGCAGTAGTGCAGTTCAGAGGGTCATTTGAATTGTGATGTTTGTGCACTTCTGGCACAACAGCCAATGAATGAATGACTGAATCGTCTCTCTCTTTTAGGGCTACCCTACCTTGGTAAGAGATGGCCGGGGCTTAAAAAAAAAGTGGAAGTTACACCAGACAACCCAATTAAAAAAAAAAAAGTGAATAACAGAATGGACGAGGGAAAGAAGGTACCTGGAGTGTCGAGTATGTGGACACTTTGCCAACAGATGCACAATAGGTAGTGTCTCAGAATAATATGGTGCTAACACAATATGGAAACAAGGCTTGGTCTTTTGAATGTTGCAATAAGGCAGTCGAGATATTGTTTGAGGTGAACTTGTGATGTGAACATTATGCAGAGAATAAGGAGTGAGGAAAATTAAGAGTACAATGAGACAGAATGATGGAAACTACTCAGGGAGCAGAGGAGACATTATTGAGATGACATGGTTAATTTAGAAGAATGTACCAAGATAGGTTGACCAAGGTGTAAAATTCTGGGACGAATGTTGTGTGTGGTAAACATTCTGTGAGGGTGTAAGATGATCAACTTGTGTTGATCATTCAGCACTACACAGCAAGGGTAAGAGAGGTTGTTACACATTAGCTTAAGCATCTACCAGAGTAAGATTGCATCAGTGTATTAGAACAGTGGATAAGAGATTTTTTTTTGTCAAGTTGTTGGAGTGTGAGCAGGACAATATCTATGCACTCTGATGTAGTCGATCAATGGGCGGACTATTACTCTTCATGCACTTTTGACAAGTCAAATAAGATATGATTGACAGTGAATGTGTTTTCCTTAGTTGGGTTACCTGCCTTTGTTGGTAAAATCTTCTGGTTATCTTGCTACAAACATCACAATTTAAACGACTCTTCAAACCGCAACATCCTCACCACTCCTTCAAAGGGTAGGCACCTTACTTTTCACCTCCAGGACTGGAGTTCAGTGTATCAATTTCCCTGAATCCATTAATGTTATCTTGCACTATAGCATGTTCCCAAGCTATAATTTTTTTTTAATGCTAATTATCTCCCACCAAGGCAGGGCAATCCGAAAAAAAGATGAAATGATTTCACCATCACTAACAAAATCCCTGTCTAGCCAAAGGTGCACAGATACTACAGTTCAGATGTCCCTCCAAATTGCAATATTCTCATCCTTCCTTCAGAGTCCTCTTCCAGGACTCAAATCTAGCTAACCAGGTTCCCTGAACCCCTTCATAAATTTGATCTTTCTTACACTCCAACAGCACATCAAGTCAAAAACACTCTCATCCACTCACTCTTATCTAAGATGCTGTAATATAACTTGTATATTACAGCATAAATAAAAATTTTTACTACTCAATCACCAATATGCTCTGTAATGATATGACCTTATGTCTAAAATAATTAGGAAATAAAATAAAAGAATGTCTTGCTACAGCAGTAATAAAAATGAAAAGCAATTATCTTAATTACCGAATTGTAGCATACTACTCCCAAACATACAATAATTTCATCATAATTGTAAGAAAAAACACAAGTCTCTTAAATTTATAAGAGCAACTGTTAGTTTATAACTTACTTCTCTATTTGTATCATCTACAATTTGTATATCTCTTTTCTTTAGCTCACGGCCACTTGATTTTTGCTGAACAGTACTAATATCAAGGGTTTCCTTGCACACACCAATAACATCTGAAAAATAAAAGAACACTTATTATTTTCAATATTAAAAATGTACTATACATACATATTCACATGGGTTGATACCCAAATTTTTAAACTCAAATCTCAGGTAATTTCCTAATCACAGATTTAATAAGTGTTTTAATGTTCCAATCAACACAATGTTTGTTGACAGTGCCCAGGAGTAAGCAAACTACATTTTTACTGCATCTTAACATAGGTAATGGACTTTAATGTGTTTTCTCAGAACAGTAATTTCACACCTGATATATATATATACTGTAAAGTAGGCCCCTGAACTAACAACATTCCAACTTGAGATGCTCCATATTTACGATGCAGGTACTATAGAACCAATTAATTACGTGTGAACAAGTGACTGGCTCTTCTGACAGCATAACTACTTACAAAGGTGGTGTTATGGCTAATGGCTGACCTGAATATTTTTTCTTGGTTATTTTTTACCTATTGAATTTGCTACTCATTTTCTTGGTTATTTTTTACCTATTGAATTTGCTACTCAAACTAAAACATTATGGAATAAAAGGACATGTTCTCATACATAAAATCTTACTTGAGGGACAGACATCAACAAGTGACCATCAGTGACTTCTTCAGAAACCAGGTCACCATACAGGTTCCACAAGGTAGTGCCCTAGGCCCTCTCCTACTTTTTTTTATTATTATTATCACACTGGCCGATTCCCACCAAGGCAGGGTGGCCCGAAAAAGAAAAACTTTCACCATCATTCACTCCATCACTGTCTTGCCAGAAGGGTGCTTTACACTACAGTTTTTAAACTGCAACATTAACACCCCTCCTTCAGAGTGCAGGCACTGTACTTCCTCTCCTACTTATCTACATCAATGAACTTCCTAATGCTTCACAGGTACTGAAAACAATTATGTTTGCAGATGACACAGTTTTTTTTTTTTTTACTTTGAATGCCTATCCGGCCAAACTCAACAACACTGTAAATGCCAAAAATGCAAAAATATGTACTTGAATCATAAATAACAATCTTGCTCTAAATATTTACAGGACCTATATAAAGTTTAGGAAGAAAACTAAAAATGTTCATATGAACAAAGATTTGCTTCACATACACATACACCAATCGACAGGAAGGTCAAGGGTAAATTCTTGGGAATACACCTGGACAGCAAACTAAAATTAAACAAACAGAACATTTTCAAAAATCTCTCCAAAACATTGGGCATTTTCTCAAAAGTGCACTATTATGTTCCCCAAGCATCCATGTTCACTTTGTACTATTCATTTATCTATCCAAACCTCACCTATGCTATCTGTGTATGGGGCAACAACAGCTAATCACCTTTAACCAGTTGTTACTCAGCAAAAATCAGCTCTCAGAATAATCACTCATTCAGGCTCCAGACAACACACATACACCCCTTATTCAAGTTTAAATTTGCTTCACGTACAAAATATCCATCGAGACAAAAAGGGAAATACATGAGGATATAGTGGTACCAACACTCTTATACGGGTTTGAGGCACAGGTTGCAAATGTTGCAGCGAGGAGGAGGCTGTAGGCAGTGATGTCATGTTTGAGTTTTTTTTTTTTGTTTCTAAACATGTCAGCCATCTCCCAATGAGGCAGGGTGACCCTAAAGACAAAAACACTTTCACCATCATTCAAAGAATTTTTAGCTTGGAGATTAAGAGGTACATTGGAGTGGAGGAGAGAGAGGTACAGGATAATATATAAGAACATAAAAAAGAAGGAACACTGCAACAGGCCTACTGACCCATGCGGAGCAGGTCCATGTCCCCCACCACGGATTAGACCAATTACCCCCCCCCCACCGGGATTAGCCCAATGGCCCATCCAGTCTGATCATCTCCACTCAAGGATGGAACACTGCACCAGACCCAGCAGCACAAGCTAGTCAGGTCCAACTCACGCCCACCCACACCCACTCATGTATTTATCTAACCTATTTTTAAAAGAACACAACATTTTAGCCTCAATAACTGTACTCGGGAGTTTGTTCCACTCATCCACAACTCTATTACCAAACCAGTGCTTTCCTATATCCTTTCTGAATCTGATTTTTTCCAACTTGAAACCATTGCTGCAAGTCCTGTCTTGGCTGGAAATTTTCAGCACGCTATTTACAACCCCTTTATTTATTCCTGTTTTCCATTTATATAGGGGAAGGAAGGCGGGGTAGGGGCTGTCCTCGAAAGGGTTGGAGAGAGGAGGTAAAGGAGGTTTTGTGGGCAAGGGGCTTGGACTTCCAGCAATCGTGCGTGAGCGTGTTAGATAGGAGTGAATGGAGACGAATGGTTTTTGGGACCTGACGATCTGTTGGGGTGTGAGCAGGGTAATATTTAGTGAAGGGATTCAGGGAAACCGGTTATTTTCATATAGTCGGACTTGAGTCCTGGAAATGGGAAGTACAATGCCTGAACTTTAAAGGAGGGGTTTGGGATATTGGCAGTTTGGAGGGATATGTTGTGTATCTTTATACGTATATGCTTCTAAACTGTTGTATTCTGAGCACCTCTGCAAAAACAGTGATTATGTGTGAGTGTGGTGAAAGTGTTGAATGATGATGAAAGCATTTTCTTTTTGGGGATTTTCTTTCTTTTTTGGGTCACCCTGCCTCGGTGGGAGACTGCCAACTTGTTGAAAAAAAAAAAAATCAGGGAAATCGGTTATTTTTATATAGCCAGACTTGTATCCTGGAAATGGGAAGTGCAATGCCTGCACTCTAAAGGAGGGGTTCGAGATATTAGAAGTTTGGAGGGATAAGTTGTGTATCTTTACACATATATGCTTCTAAACTATTGTGTTCTGAGCACCTCTGCAAAAACAGTGATTATGTGTGAGTGAGGTGAAAGTGTTGAATGATGATAAAAGTATTTTCTTTTTGGGGATTTTCTTTCTTTTTGGGTCACCCTGCCTCGGTTTGAGACGGCCAACTTGTTGAAAAAAAAAAAAAAATTTCATTAATCCATCTACGATTTTTTTTTCAAAATTATATAATAAACACTGTACATAACATATAAACATGATAAATTCACCCCACAGTAGAATAAAGTAACAAATATGAGATGTCAGGTATAGATGAACGTATATTAACCATAACCAGATGCATTTGTCTCTGTTTACATTCTCTGCATCTCTCTCTTTCATTTACTCATTCCCTCTCTCTCTCTCTCTCTCTCTCTCTCTTGTTTATTCGTTTTACCTTGTTTACTCACCTCTCACCCTACATTAAGACTACAAATGTTTTAAAGTAAGTAATGAGTGTACTGTATATGCATTTTATCGCTCTACTGCACTCTAAATGTCATAGTACAACCTCTCTTCACTTAACGACGGAGTTCTGTTCCTAAGACCACGTCGCTAAACAAATTCGTCGCTAAGTGAGGAGCATACTATAATAGCAGTGGGTTTGTGTCAACCATCTTTGATATCATTTTAATGCCACCTTTGCACCAATTATAACATTTCAGGTATATTTTAAAATGTTTACACAGTAGTGTACTGTATACTGTAATAAACATAATACAGGAAATTAGCTCTAATATACATTATTTGGGCATACTGGTCAGAGAGCCCGTCTTGAATTCAAGGCATCAGTAAACGAGTATGTCGCTAAGTGAGGTGAGGCTGTATATATTACATGTGGGAGGGATGGCCTGCCCTGGCTGGCTACCATACCTCCTATACCAGACTTCCTACAAATGAATACTACTCACTTCTCTTCCTACATTAAGACTACAATATTTTAAGGTAAGTAATGAATGTACTGTATTTGCATCTGATTACTCTGGGGTGCTTTAAATGTTGTAGTATATTACGTGTGGGTGGGGTGGCCTGGCTGGCTACCATACCTCCCACACCTGACTTCTTACACTACTACTCACCTCTCACCCTACATTAAGAATACAAATATTTTAAGGTAAGTAATGAGTGTACTGTGTGAGTATTTTACTTTTTACTGTTTTTAATGCCTCGTTCTATAGTTAACTTAATATACATTAGTGTAAACTTGTTTTCTGGCATTTATATGCATTTCTAAGTGGAAAAAATGGCGTTCTGCTCTCCGGCGATGTCCACTTTCCGGAGGTAGCTTGGAGCCTAACCTACCATACAAGTGGTGCCCTACTGTATAGGCAAGTACACTTACGAAAGGGTAATAGGAGATACTGTAGTATCAGATCTCAAAACTAAGTGCAACAATGTAAGTGTTTCTAACATCAGATTAATCAATCCAATATTTCTTGTAATGATATATGGAAAAAAACTCACCTAAAATATGATCTTTCTCTAAACTCTCCAGTTGATCAAGTGGAACAAAGTTAAACTGCATGGCTGGGATTGCTGTTACTTCATGGCAGGGTGTAATCTGAAATACAGAGGCATGAATGAAGGGTTTAAAATACTACTTTACAGTTTATAAAAAAACAAAAAAAACTGCCTTAAAATTTTTTTTTTTTGTAAAACAATAATAAAACAAACAATAAGCTTTATTAGGAAACAAAGTTAAAAGAAAAATAAACATTTAGTCATTTGACTTTTTGCATTCATTATTTTTTAATCTTTTCTGGCAAAGAATCACAATCTCTGGAAGTAACTCACCCATATAAATCCACACCATCATTAGTAGGCTGGAGATTTGGTGCTCTGCTGCTATGAATATTAACACCTGCCCAGCATTTTCAATCAGACTGAGATCCCTACTTTTACCTGGCCATTCTAAAACAGAAATTTCATGCTGCCTCAACCAATCTTTGACTCTCTTGCTGCAGTGGCACTAGGCTCCATAATTCATGCATTAAGGTGCTGATGTCATGAATATGATAACGAGCGAGACCTTTCTCATCAAGGATTTCTAAATATTTCTTCCCTTTTATCACCTCACTCTTAGGAGGAAAATAAAGACCACCAAGGCCACTGTTATGGATGACACCTCCAAACCTTTATAGGGTTTTTGACAGTCTTGATCGTGAAGCGAGGTTAAACCTTAAAGAGCTACCGAGATCGTGAACCTGCGTCGAGACATTCCTGATGAAAAAAGTCAATTTATTACTTAACATGACCTTTCTTTAATCATCCTTGATCCAATCTTCATACTTGTCACAAAAAGCAATGCAAGCCTTGCACATACTCTTGGTGATAAGGGGGTTTCTTAGTAACCCTATGACATGGTATCCTCAAGATACTTTAGTACGTAATGTTGGTCTGTGCACACAACTACTTCTCCCAGAACATCAAGATGCTTGTTCTTTAATTCCCGAGCAGTAATTGTAAGGTTCAGCATAAGTTCCCTCTTCTGAAGAGCATCAGAGTATGGAGCGGTCATCAAGGGCTCCTGTGATGTATCCCACGGTAGTGGGGTGCATCCCAGCCTGTCTCCAATATCCTTCACAGGGACTTGGTAGTCCAGGAGTGATGACAAGTCTAATCCACCATACAAAGCCTATACCAACCCAATGTGATCAACAGAGAACAGCTTTAGACTGAAAAAAACTAGACAATCATACAGGGCAAAAGGCATGAACTGAGTGAGGAAACACCTTCCCCTATCATAGTCTGTGGGTTACTGACATAACGCTATACTACTCTCACATTTATCTGAGTTAGGGTGATGCCAGATGTACGATGGTTGGAAATGACAAATATTGTTTCTTATTTAAGTGAAAGCAAAATTTATTTCATGTTTTGGGACAGATTTCTTTTCATTGGGACTGAACATGCTAAACTTACATAAAGGGAGTTCCTGGAAGACAACCAGTGCCTAATACTTTTTCTCCAAACCTCTACAAGTTTGGTAATGAATGTTATACTATGCTCTGAACCTGCACCTATAACTCTTTCCTCAGTCTGACCTATACCTGGAGAGGGTCAGGGTCAGGATGAGCGTCTGATCAATCAGGCTGTTACTGCTGGCTGCACACAAACTGACATACAAACCACAGCCTGGCTGATCAGGTACCGAGTTTAGGTGCCTGTCCAGCACCTTCTTGAAGACAGTCAGGGGTCTATTGGTAATCCCCCTTATGTATGCTGGGAGGCAGCTGAACAGTCTTGGGTTCTTGACACTTATTGTGTTGTCTTTCAGTGTACTTGTAGCATCCCTGCTCTTCATTGGGGGAATGTTGCATCCCCTGCCGAGTCTTTTGCTTTCATAGGAAGTTATTTTGTGTGCAAGTTTGGTACTAATCCCTCTATAATTTTCCAAGTGTATATTATAATGCATCTTTCTCACCTGCACTCCAGAGAATACAAATCAAGGGACTTCAACTGTTCCTAGTAATTTTGGTGCTTTATCGTACTAATGTGTGCCGTGAAAGTTTTTTGTACAATCTCCAGGTCTGCAATTTTGCCTGCCTTGAAGGGGGCAGCTAGTGTACAGCAGCATTCAAGCCTAGAGAAAACAAGCAATATGAAAAGAATTATCATCAGCTTGGCATCCCTAGTTTTGAAGGTTCTCATTATCCATCCTATCATTGTTCTACCAGATGTGAAGGCGAAATCCTCTGACATTACCACTCCCAGGTCCTTCACATTAATTTTTCACTCTATTGTACGCTTAAAATTTGTTGTATACCCTGATAAAGTTTTAATTTCAAGTTATCCATATCTGAGTAGTTGAAATTACTCTTCGTTGAACTTCATATTGTTTTGAGTGGCCCATTTGAAGATTTGGTTGATGTCCACTTGGAGTTTTGCGGTGTCTTTGATGGAGGACACAGTCATGGCAATTCAGGTGTCATCTGCAAAGGAAGACATGGAGCCATGGCTTAAATGTCTATGTCAGATATGAGGATGAGGAACAGGATGGGAGCGAGTACTGTGCCCCGTGGAACAGAGCTTTTCACTGTAGCTGCGTCAGACTTCACTCTGCTTACTATTACTCTTTGTGTTCTATTTGTCAGGAAGTTATAGATCCATCTACCAAACTTTCCTGTTACTCCTCTATCACGCATTTGTGCACTATTACACCATGGTCGCACTTGTCGAAGGCTTTTGCAAAGTCTGTATATACTACCTCTGCATTCTCTTTATCCTCTACAGCATCCAGGACCTTGTCATAGTGGTCCAGCAGCTGGGACAGGCAGGAACAACTTCCTTGAAACCAGTGTTGCCCTGGGTTGTGTAAATGATGGGTATCTAGGTTGTTGGGAACCTTGCTTCTTAGAACCCTTTCAAAGATTTTTATAATATGGGATGTTAGTGCTATCATGCACTAACATGACAAAGGTGGCAGTAAAGCAATTGCTTTACTGCCACCTTTGGGCCTAGGGCAGAGTGCATGGGCATGTCATTTATTGCCTTTTCAAAGTCGTGTGGTGTTAGAGATTTTTGAGATGACCAGATTTTGGGTCTCGGCGAAAAAGATTTAATTTAGATTGCCGACCCTTAGTCTTGTTAATGGCTTGCTGAACACAGTCATACTGGGACTTAAGTATCTCTCATTTCTTTGCTATCATCTGTGTAGGTCCCATCTCGCCTAAGCAGGGGCCCAATACTGGATGTTGTTTTACCCTTAGATTTGGCATAAGAGAAGTATTTTTTTTTTTTTAATTTCCTTTATGGCTTTTAGTTTTCCTGAGAGTCTTGTCTCCTGTAATACTCCATAAGCTTAGGTTTGATACTGGCTATTTATCTGACAAGTGCCTCCCTTCATATTTCAAGTATACTGGCCCCTCTCAGCAGCTCTGTGATTATTCACCAACACCTGTATAGGGAGCATCTCTCTCTTTCTAGTTTACATCTTCTTTCTTTTTCTTAATGGAATGTGCCTTGAGCAGACCTCAAGTGCCACAGAGTTAATTTTTCTCTAGACAAAGGTTTGGATCTGTGTTGTTTAGGATATCTTCCCAGGTTGTTTCATTTAGGACATTGTTGACTTGTTCCCATTGTATGTTTTTGTTACTGAAGTTAAATTTTGTGAAGACACCCTCATGACTGATCACATTTTGCTGGTCAGGAGCCCTGTGCATACATGTCTGTACCTCTATTATGTGGTGATCTGAGTGTACTGTCTTTGATACGACTATGTTACGTATCAGATTGTTGCTGTTAGTGAAGACGAGGTCCAGCGTATTTTTTAGTCTTGTAGACTCTAATATTTGCTGGTTTAAAGTGAATTTGGTGCAGAGATTAAATAGCTCGTGTGTGTATGAATTTTCATCAGAGCTGCCTTCTGGAGTGATCTCTGCTAAAATATTACTTGCTACACTCCTCCATTTAGGTGTTTCAAGTTGAAATCTCCCAGTAGCAAGATGTTTGGGGCAGGAGTAGGTCAAGATATACGAAATAAACTTACAGTATTATGATGTGTTGAAATTGGTGAAAAAATAATCACTTATCATGAACAGTATTGTAAAAACACTAGTGATATTTACATTTTACAATTTATTGATACTAAGATATGATTGTTTTTGTTTTTTAATTGCTTTCAAAGTTTATTATGTACACTAATTCCTTATGATGACAAATGCGTTTAACCCTTTCAGGGTCTGTGCTGTAGTTCTACGGCTTTGAGTTCTGGGTCCAAACCATAGTTTTATGGCTTTGAGTTCTGGGTCCAAACCGTAGTTCTACGCCACGAGCTCAGCTCACTCATAAGCTGTGAGCAGTAAATTTGGGCCTAGATATGAGAGAATACATCTATGTGGCAAGTGTGCACCACATAAAACAAATCCTGCAGCACAGAGAGCATAACAAGAAAAAAAAAATTTGAGACCGCAATTTTGGTTAAAAACAGCGACTTTGCGATGCTTTTTCATATGTTTTTTATATTTGCGTTTGCAATTTCTTGGTCTCATTTGATAGGCTGGAAGATATATTACAGAAATAATGATTATTTTGATTGGTTTTAGTACTGAAAATGGCTTGAAACTGAGCTCAAAGTAGCAGAAATGTTAAATTTTTGCTGATGTTCAAGAGTAAACAAATCACATCACTCATCCAATACATATCAGCTGATGGGTCCTATGTGCGTTCACAAATGCGCTGATATTATTTATACAATTACAGTGGAACCTCTACTTGTGAGTTTAATCCATTCCATGACCTTGTTTGCAACTGGATTTGCTCGTTTGCCGAGTCAATTTTCCTCATTTAAATTAATTGAAATGCAATTAATCCGTTCCAGTGGAATTCTGTGATTCAATAATTTCGTTAATATCAACTCTATGGCTTATTTTTCTCACTTCATCTGACATAATAAACAGTATAAATAACATAGAAACCTGATATATATACTCTAAAATGAATAAAATATGTAATTCATGTAGTGGTATGGGCAGTGTCGGTGGTGGACAAGAGTGTGTGGAGACCGGACAAAATACTTCTTGAATAATTTTGCTAATATCATCTATACAGCTTATTTATCTTTCACAGTTCATCTAATATGACATATACTCTAGAATAAATAAAATACTGTACAGTGGTCCCTCGTTTTTCGTAATTAATCCATTCCTGGAGGAGCTACTATAAACGAAATTTACGATTTGCGAATCAATTTTCCCCATAAGAAATAATGTAAATACAATTAATCCGTTCCTGACACCCAGAAGTATTAAAACAAAAAAAATTTTTACATGAAATATACAGGTAGCATATAAACAATACAATGGGAAATGATGAATGAAACATTAACAGCATAACGCTTACCTTTATTGGAGATTCTTCTTAGTGTATGGGAGACTGGAGGAGGAGAGAGATTGGATTGTTTACAGTTTGGAAGAGGAATCCCCTTCCAGCAACACCTCAGGTACCAATTGCTTTTCTGGGGTTACTTCTCTTCTCTGTTTCTTAATGCCACTAGGACCACCATGGGAGTCACTGGAGTCCTGTCTCACAAAATAACTGTGAAGAGAGCTCAGTTTCTGGCGTCTCTTTAACACTTCCCTAAAATGGCCCAAGACTTTGTCACTGTACATATTTCTCACCTTCTTTAAGACAGGCTTGGCACTAGGAGCTTTCTTTTGAGTCATGGTAGCTTATTTAGTACTTGCAAGCACTAAAATGAGTGGAATATTATAAAATATTTCGTAGGAGCACTTGAGGGGACCTTCACTCACTGGTAAACAATGCCAGACTGGCTGGGTAGGGAGGCCTTCCCGGCTCACACCGTGCTTATGCGTCCCGGACAAACTACTATTCGCGAGTCAACCTATGAAAAGCGAGTCCATGTTTATACGAAAATACCCTATGATTGGCGAAATTTACGATTGCCGAGAACTACGAAAAGCGAGGGACCACTGTATGTCATTGTATATGTGGCGGCGACAGCGGAGGCCGACGAGAGTTTGTCTGGAGACAGGACAAAATACCCCTTGAATACAGGTACCATCCGACTTACGATCGAGTTCGGTTCCGACAAACCGGTCCTAAGTCGAAATGGACGTAAGTCGAAACTTACTACTGAATATCAACATCACATTTTTGTAATAACTTTATTTTGTTTTATTTTGGTATTTCATTTTTTACTTTACTTTTTATGCTGTTAATACTGTATTTTATACTGTAAGGTTTAGGATAAACACTGTGTACAACACAAACACTTGTTTATTTCCCAGAAATTTGGCATAGAAAACACGGTCATAAGTCAAATGGTCGTATGTTGAGCAGGTTGTAAGTCGAATGGTCGTACGTCGAGCAGGTCGTAAGTCGGATGGTAGGTGTATTTCGCTATCATCAACTCCACGGCTTATTTATCTATCATAGTTCATCCAATATGAAATAAAAAACAATATAAATAACACAGAAACCTGATATATATACTCTAGAATGAATAAAATATGTCATTGTGTAACAGGTGGAGGCGGCCACAACCGCGCCGTCTATGTTGTGGTGAACACTGCCATCTAGTGACGGCCTTTTGAAGCCGTCTATTATACTTATTATGTAGTACATTATTATTATATATGTATTATTATTATATGTACATGTATATTATTACTCTTATTGTATTATATTATTATTCTTATTGCATTATATTATTATACTTTTTTTTTTCAACAAGTCGGCCGTGTCCCACAATATAAATAATTTGTAATTTTTATTCACACAAAAAATATAAGATTTACGGTTATGCCTTATTGCAATAAATGTATAAATAATGTCAACCCATTCACGACTGCATATTGGAATGGAGAGTGACATCATTTGTTTACTCTTGAACATAGCCAAAACAATCGAACATTTCAAGGTACTTTTCGTTGTGAAAGCAATCAAAATCATATCTATTTCTGTAATATATCTTCCATTCTATCAAATGAGACAAAAAACAAGAATACAACCATAAAAACCCTACAAAAATACCGCTAAGAAGTGGCTAATTGCCGAGAAGTGAACTCCATTTTTATGCTTAAATTCTTTCATTTTTGGTGTACGTTAAGAGGCATCTTTCCATCATACATTGCCCAAGTTTCAATAAGATAGTCCAACAAACAAATGAGATACAATTCCTTAGATCAAGAGCAAGAGCCCCTCACCAGCATCAAGGAACCTGCCTTGAGGTCCTTGAGGTCTGCTCGCTTATGGAAATTTTGCTCACGTATGGAAACAAAAAATCGACCCATTGACTGCTCGTATTTGGAAAAACTCGCACGTGGATGCGCTCGCAAGTAGAGGTTCCACTATATTACAATATTGCATAACAGTTAATCTTCCATTTTTTATTTGAATAAAAATTCATTATGTTAATAAAAAATCAAAATGGAATTCATTTGTAAAGCCTGAAAATGTAACTAATGAACAGAGGAAAGGTTAGTGCCAGGAATGCTTGCATTGTTTATTCTGAACCCAATTTTGAAATAGGAATATTTTGAACTTTGATAAATTGGCCAAATTACCAATTTCCAATCACTTTATTAGGTAGTTGAAACAGATGACTTGCCGATTTCTTGTGCTCAATCGATAAAATAGAAGTAATACTAGTGAAATGGCTAAGAATTTTGTCAACTGAAATAATGTTATTGGCCTAAAATGGGAGTCAAAATCAGCAAAATCGCCAATGCCTAAATATCGCTGATTTATCAAAATTCGTGAGAGCATAACTTCATCAATTTTCCATCAAATTTTGTACTTTGTTTTATTACCTTCAGAAAAAGATTCTCTACCATTTCTTAAGAAAAAAAAAAAAAATTTAAATTCTTGGACCCTGTGGACACGTCTCAGATTTTGGGTCTGGACCCTGAAAGGGTTAAAGGTGTTTTAGTACTTCAAACATGGGAAAATGCTTAGCCCAACACTGCTTCATTTGGAATATACAGTATATATATGGTAAAATTAATTTTTATATATATATATTTTTTTTTATTTTGTACATACTTATAACATTACAATTGCTTCTGAGTACTATATTACTTCTTAAAACATGGAGGTAAGTCGTATTGACTTTACTGGGTTATATATACAGTATACAGTGGACCCCCGGTTAACGATATTTTTTCACTCCAGAAGTATGTTCAGGTGCCAGTACTGACCGAATTTGTTCCCATAAGAAATATTGTGAAGTAGATTAGTCCATTTCAGACCCCCAAACATACACGTACAAACGCACTTACATAAATACTTACATAATTGGTCGCATTCGGAGGTAATCGTTATGCGGGGTCCACTGTATACGTATACTGTAAAATTTATTTTTATTCCAGTTTTTACTATTTTGATCTTCTAAGGCTATGTACAATGAATATATTACAATTGTTCAGTGTAATACTCTTAAACACGGAAATTATTCGCAGTGTCTGACTTTACTGAGTTAATTATACTTAGTGTGCTTTGTGGCTGAATTCCAATTCTAATATCATGAAATTGTAATGAATTTGGAATGAATAAGTCACCAATGAGCCACTTGCACACCCTGTTTGCTGGTAGGGAAGATGGTGGTGGAACAGCAGCTCCTGATTTCTTTGTTTACTTCTGCTAGTGAGGCATACTAATAAGTCAGATGCACAGTCATCACCTGAGTAATTAACAATGATACACTGTGTGAACACTGCTGGTCTCAGATTTTTTCAAATGTATGAAGAAATGGAAGAAGACCCAAGGAGTTGTGCTGAGGTCAAAAATATTGGCAGGTGGCAGAATTGTGGGTTCAACAATGTCTATACTAGTATGTTAGACACAGTTGAAGGGTTAAATGGGATTAAGTCAGAGATATTTAAGAGAATAGAAGCTACAAACCTAGGTAGTAGGTTGGTAAACAGCAACCGCCCAGGGAGGTACTACCGTCCTGCCAAGTGAGTGTACAACGAAAACCTGTAAATGTTTTACATGGTAGGATTGCTGGTGTCTTTTGTCTGTCTCATAAACATGCAAGATTTCAGGTATGTCTTGCTACTTCTACTTGCACTTAGGTCACACTACACATACATGTACAAGCATATATATACACACCCCTCTGGGTATTCTATTTTCTTTCTAGTTCTTGTTCTTGTTTATTTCCTCTTATCTCCATGGGGAAGTGGAACAGAATTCTTCCTCCGTAAGCCATGCATGTTGTAAGAGGCGACTAAAATGCCGGGAGCAAGGGGCTAGTAACCCCTTCTCCCGTATAAATTACTAAATTTAAAAGAGAAACTTTCGTTTTTCTTTTTGGGCCACCCTGCCTTGGTGGGATATGGCCGGTGTGTTGAAAGAAGAAAGAAAGAAGCTACAAACAATTCTGAAAAGAAAAGTTGGGCTACAAATATTTAAATTCAAGAATTATATAGACTAAAGTAAAACTGGGATGTAGGAAGCTGGTTAAATAAGTGTGTTTATATTAGTATATAAGTGTACAGTGCAAGTACAGATAAAGATATTTAGGGAGGCTTCAAGTAACTATTTAGTGTTTAGAGCCAAGTGAGAGAGTAATTGTTTTGAGAAGCCTTAATGCTAAAGTGAGAAAAACTACTTTAGAGGATAAGGAAAATGTAGTGAGCCAGATGTAAACAAAAATGGAACACCTTTAAATAATGTTTGGAAAGAGGTCTACCAACAAGTAAGACATATTTTAAGTACATATAAGTAACTGAGGTATGATGTATTGGTAGAATTTTTTTTTTTTTTTTTTTAGAAAAGTGCTACAAATATATAATAAACAGGAATTACACATACAATAGTTAACAGCCATTATCCTATAAAGATACAGAAATTCATAAAAAACAAACTGCATACTAAAAAGCACTTACCTCAGTCATCTTATTGAAAGTCATCTCATAATCATTATTGAGATTACTAAACTGCTTGTTGGCAGTTTTGAGACTAGCACTGGTGATGAAGTACACTTTATTAATCTGAAATTTTAAGAGAGTAATACCATGAAAAAATATTGCCAAAAAATTTTTTTTTATCACATCAGCCATTTCCCACCAAGGTAGGGTGACCCATAAAGAAAAAAACAAAAAAATAAAAAACTTTCATCGTTCAAAATTTCCACCACCATTCATACATAATCACTGTCTTTGCAGAGGCACTCAGATACAATAGTTTATATGTCACTCCAAACAGCCAATATTCCAAACCCCTCCAGAAAGAACCAATCATATTGTAGTATGCATTGCAGATTTGTTATACAACCACCATGATGATCTTCATCAATATAGAGATTGATGATAAAGAACATCATTCATCAAACATATTATGACATCTCATAACTTACCTCAATTTGTTTTAAAACTGCACCTACAGCTCACCAGCAACTCTTTTATCTTTAAATCTCTCCAATTTTCCATTTTAGCTATGTACACTATTCTCCTTCCACCTTATTCTTAACTCTAGCTACCCCTAAGTAACAATCAGATATTTCAAACTTTCCAAGAAAAGTGTATATACAAAAGGCCTTAATCATGGTGCAGCAGAATTTTCTCAATGTGTACCACATCACACATTATATTAGTAACTACTGTATTTTTTCTTCCTTATTTTGTTACACAAAGTAATACCAAACATTTTTCTAAATACAGTGGTACCTCGGTATACGTCCTTAATCTGTTCCAAGACCTTGGACTTATACCAAACAAATTTTTCCATAAGAAATATAGGGAAAACGATTAATCCGTTCCCATGAAAAAAAAATCCTATTTTTATTGGCATATTATACTCTGATGGGTTTTTATAAAATAATTTAAACTGCTTAATACTAAAATATATAATTTAAACACTGCTTAATACTAAAATACATACATAAATACAAAAGAATTAGATGAAATAAATGCAAATTTAACCTCACTTTACTTTGCTGAAAAGAGTTGAGTGCCTACTAGGATAGTGCTGCGATGGGAGGAGGAGGAAGAAATGTTATTGTCTGGAAGGAGAATCACTTTCTCTTTTCTGTCTCTTTTTCCCTATTTGGACCTGGTTGAAGCTCACCAGGCTTGACTTTTACTAAAAATCTGTCCAAAGAACTTTGCTTCTGTCTTTTCCTCAGGATCTTTCGGAAATGTGGCATTGTCTGGTCATCCCAGACAATGCTATTATGGCTTGCTTGGGCTTTGTTGAAGTGGTACTTCTCTGCAAAGTTTTTGACATCCGTCCATTTGGCAAAGATTTCCTTGATTAATGAAGTAGGGGCTTTCTCTACCTCTTCTTCTGAGCCTGAAGAGAGTGCATCTATCTTAGTCTTGCACTCCTCCTTCTCAAGTTCCTGCAGCTCCTCAGTGGTCAGCTCTTCCCTGTGCCCCTCCACTAACTCCTCCACATCACCATCACTCACCCACTATACACACAGTCTCAAAGCCCTCAAGTCCCTTTCAGCCACTGTTTCTGGCCATAAATTCCTCTAAGCAAAGTTCACTGTTCTGTATGAAACTTCCTATCAGACTTTGTCAATGAGAGTTATGCAATGGATGATAGTAAAGTGATCTTTCCAAACTCTTTCAGGGTTAACTCTGTGTCAGAGGTCACTTCAGAGCACCTCTCAAATAGTGCTTTAGTGTAGAGTTTCTTGAAATTGCTGATGACCTGCTGATCCATCTGCTGAATGAGAGGAGTCGTGTTAGGGGCGAGAAACTTTACAGTGATGAAAAACTCCGCAGCACATAGTCCTGCAAGTAGGAGGGCGAGATGGACCATTGTCCATTATGAGGAGGGCCTTCAGAGGCAGGTTTTTCTCTTCTAAGTAACTTTTTACACTTGGCCCAAACACAACATTAAACCATTCGCTGAAATATTCTCTGGTTACCCAAGCCTTCCTGTTGACCTCCACATCACAGGTAACTGAGTTTTCTGCACATTATGTTTTTTAAAGGCCCTCAGGTTTTCAGAGTGGTATATCAGTAGAGGCTTCAGTTTGCAATCCCCACTTGCATTGGCACAACAAGAGAGTTAACCTTTCCTTCACTGGCCTGTGTCCTGGTAATGCCTTCTCTTGTGTAATATAGGTCCTGTTAGGCATTTTCTTCCAAAACAGGCCTGTTTTGTCACAATTAAAAACTTGTTGGGGAACAAAACCCTCAGCCTCCACAAATACCCCAAACTCTAACAAAATCATTGGCAGCATCTTTATCACTCTGACCCATACAAGTTCTAGCACGCGAGTCGTATTCCAAACAAAGGTCGAATACCAAGCAAAAATTTTTGTGTCCAAACAAGGCGTATACCAAGCTAAACTTATTCCAAAGTGGACATATACCGAGGTACCACTGTATAATTAAAAAAATGAGCCAGTATTATTTACACCAAAACCCCCCAAACTTTTTTAAAACACTTTCCAAACAGTCTTCCAAAACAATTATGTTATTACTTTGCTCAAAATATCCTAATACACTCCATAAAAAACACCTGTGTTTCTTAAGTCTGAGGATGTTTTGCCAACCAGTGGCTTCATCAATTCAATACATTAGTTATTAATAGGAGATAATAGATGAGGAAGTACTGGGAGAGACTGTTTGACTCTATTGTCTCCCATTACTAACCTTTGCATTGAAATGATGAAGCCAGAGGTTGACAAATGGTTTTCAGAATAGCCAGGTATTGCACATGTTTCTAATTCATTTACTTGTCAGTAATGTATAAAATTTAAGTTATCCCACTTTCACCCACAACCAGAAAATTCTAGAATTTAAACACTTGTACCTCTTTCTTTCCACAGATATTCAATGTGCAAATATGAGAAAAAAAATAATTTAACTGGTACTGTCTTGGCTAAATTAAAGAGTGAGTGCACGGATTAGAAAATGGTTTACCATACCTCAATCATGTCGTAGAACTTGTCTGCTTGTTCATTAAAAGCTGTTGCACGAATTTCACCTGATTCATCAAGAAGATCCATCGAGAAGAGTTTACCTTCACCCCTTGAGTTGGACCACGTCCGAATGGCTGACTTGTTGCTAACTCGAGCACAGATGGTCCACCTTGGTAGCAATAATAAAACTGTGCATTATTTAATGCACAGTCTTTATGTGCCTGTGTGCAGAGTTTCTGTATTCTGATCTGGGAAAAAGTTACTTTCTAGATGACTAAAAATTCAAGCTGAGTGTCCGAGTTATGTTACAGTACAAGAATGGAAACAAATTGTTTTCAAAAGCTTGTGTCATTTCAAAACAACTCCAAACATTTAATGACAGAAAATTTGGTCTGAGGCTTATGTGCAAACTTCAGCATAAATAGCATAGATATTCTAGATGAAAGTAGATAATATGATTAGTACTCAACTTGTACTGAGTTGCTGTAAATTTATTTTCATATAATGGTGCACTGTATTTCAGCAATAACATGTAATTATAGAAAAGAGTAACAAGTAGCTAAAAATTTTTTTTTTACATGGATATTCAGGTTAAAATTTCAGATTTTTTCCTGTTCAGTATAGTACATTTACATTCTGGAAACAGAAAATGTAGAACTCTTAGCTTAACGCTTTCGCCGACTACCACAGTACTACGCCTTTGAGTTCACTGGCCATGCCCTAGTAATATGTGATGAGCTCAGCTCACTCATTTAAGCTGTGAGTGGTACATTTGGACCTAGATATGAGATGGGTCAATGTAGTAAGTGTGCACCATATACAAAAAATCCTGCATGATGCATTATTTATTCTGGACCCTATTTTGAAACTGAAATACTTTGAAATTTGTGTGAAATTTGTCAAATTACCAATTTCTGATAACTCTGTTAGGTGATTGAAATAATTGATTGGGCAATTTCTTGTGCTCATTTGATAAAATGGAAAAATATTAGTGAATTAGCTAAAAATTTGGTCGACTGGAACAATGTAATTGGCCTAAAATAGGACTCAACGCAGGTAAAAATTGCCAATGCATAAAAATCGCTGACAAGAGCAAAATTTGAAACAGCGTAATTTTACTCTGTCTGCAATTTCTTACTTTTTGCTGTATTACCTTCAGAAGATTCTCTACCATTCATAAAAAAAAAAAAAAAAATTTTTGAAAATTCTTTGACAGTGTGGACAAACTTCAGATAGGGGGTCTGGACAGTGAAAGGGTTAATGCCTGTAACTCACACAATAAACACTGCGAGATTATTCCCCATAATCCCCTGTTTAGCGCATCAGCTATCTCCCAGTGAGGTAGGGTAACCCCCCCAAAAAGTAAGCACATTCACCATCACTCACATTCAATAACTGTCTTACCAGGAGTGAATAGGCACCGCAAGTCTGAATTATAAAAACTATGAAAGTGATACCACTTATTTTTTTTTACCAGCTGACCCTCTTCAACTGCAACCACAGACAAAGTCACCTGGGTGATGATCAAATCATCCCCAGACTTTCCATGCATGTGACTTCCAGACTTATAAATAATTCTAGCATTGCAAGGTTTCTTAAATTTCATATCAAAGGTTATCACCCCCATCTGTATTTACTTCTGTTTCTTATCCTTAAAACACAGGTTGATTATGTCCATATATTTGTCACAATGAAAACTTTTTTCTTTATATTACCTATTTTGGTATGGTGTGAGGGAAGAGATTGGATGAACATTTCCACCTGATGGAGTTTTAGTAGGGGAAACTCCACAATTTGGTGGATTGCGTTGTCCTAAAGGATTCCGTTGTGGGTTGCCACCTGTAAATGTGCCCACATCAGGTTTATTATAAAAGGTTACAATGTTATAACAAATCTCAAGTGAATAGCAAATAACCACAGAAAACAATTAAATGAATAGCCAAGAACTATGAAATAAAATATGATTGACAAAATTTTTTTCATTACAAGAAGAAGCAAAAGTATGTTAAGCAAAATTACATCAAGAAAAATTCAGAAAAGAAAGTTTACACAGAAATAATATACAAAATATTTATACAGCCAGATAGCAGCACAAGTGCACCATGGAAATAAGGTACAAAATGCAAAGACCAGCCTGACTAGGCTTACAAGACTGCTATGACCTTGTAGAGCAATCAGCACTCATGGCATTCAAACTTTTATAGAAAGCACAAAAAAATATAAAATTAAACAACACAAATAAATACTATCATACCAAGTTAAAATAACCAGCATCAGTTAAAAATCTCTATTTTTTTTAATCATTCTGGTCATCTCCTACCAAGGAAGGGTGTCCAAGCAAAGAAAACATTTTCATTGTTGCTCAATCCATCACTGTCTTGCCAGAAGGGCACTGACATCACAGTTCAGATGACTCTCCAAATCACATCCCTTCCCCCTTAAGAGTGCAGGCACTGTACTTCCCACCAACAGAATGCTAATCTAGCTAATCAGTTTCCTGAATCTCTTCATAAATGTTACAATAATGTCAAACACACTCCTGAAAGTTCCCATGATCCATTACATTACAGCAGTTTGCCCATGGCATAAGTCATGGGCAAACTGCTAAAATGTTTTCCATAGTCAGCTTTACACAAGCTATACAAAGAAGAGGGGGAGGGGGAGGGGGAGGGGGAGGGGGAGGGGAGGAGCATTTGTGAACAGGTGACTGAGTGAGGTGTGTGCTGCACAACAAACACAAAAACATACAAATAGCCCATACATAGGAGACAAACTTATGACTATGTGTTTCGGTCAGACTTTAACCACTAACTAGTTAATGATCCAGGGTGGATCAAAATGTCATCATTAGTTTCAGTCACCTCTGTGTGGGTTATTTGTATATTATTCCAGCCTAGGTAGTGTGCCTTTTCATACTTTCTGAACATGACAAAAATTATTTTTAAAAAATTCTAGCCCCCTACTTTCTAATTAATGTTCATTCTTAGTTTGCACAAAGAACTACCTTGTTCATCAAGACATCCCTGACATGACTACTTCCCATCAGCTCATTCCTCTGCCTTAACCCTTCACTGTTCAAACCACCAAAATTATTATTGATATGCACACTTTTTAAAAAATAAATTCCTCTGAAATGGCAGTCTTTTTCTGAAAGGAACACCACCAAAAGTTTGAAATTTGATGGAAAACTTATAATACTCTGCAGAGGCAAAGTTCATTATCTCAAAGCAATTCATGAAGCCACAATTTTGTTGATTTTTCCCTATTTTAAGCCAATTCCATTGCCCCAGTCAACCAAATTTTTAGCTATTTCACTAGTATGCCTTCCAGTCTATTGATAGAGCACAAGAAATTGCCCTTTCAACTAGTTCAACTGACCTATAAAATGCACAGTACTTGATAATTTAGCCAATTTTACACAATATTAAAAAAATACTAATTTAGAAAAAGAGTCCAGAATAAACAGTGTAAATATTGGCACTAAAACATTTCCTCTGTTCATTAATCATGTCCCCAAGCCTCTCCTATATTACACTTCCATTTTTAATTTATAATCACACAAAAATAGATTTACTCTACTTCTCGAATATTGGTCGTAGTTTACCGTCTCAATAATTGAATGAAACCTATTAAAACCCCTATAAAACAGTGGGGTGGGGGGTGATGGGCCTCACCTGTCCTCAAGAAAATAGGAAACTATTAAATACAGTGGACCCCCGATTAACGATATTTTTTCATTCCAGAAGTATGTTCAGGTGCCAGTACTGACCGAATTTGTTCCCATAAGGAATATTGTGAAGTAGATTAGTCCATTTCAGACCCCCAAACATACACGTACAAATGCACTTACATAAATACACTTACATAACTGGTCGCATTGGGAGGTGATCGTTAAGCGGGGGTCCACTGTATTTCTACTTCGAGCTACTTCCAGTCCTAAAACCAACTAAATGCCTCTCAATTTTAGTAGTAGTATAAGAAACAGCCAATAAAACCATAAAAACCATTTGAGAAAACACCTTGAATTTGTTATTTTAAACTATATACATGGTTAGTTTTGCTTTTTCCATCATGCAAGGCATTGGGAAGGATAAACCTGTGTGGTGCTCACTTACCACACAGATTCATGCTCTCATAGCTAAGCCAAAATTTTACCACTCACAATTTTTCCGAGTAAGCTGGGCTCACGGCATAGAACTACACGAAGGACCCTGGCCTCAATGTCATAGTTCTATGTGATGGCCACTGAAAGGGTTATTTGTGTATAGAAATCCATCCATATTCTACAATTGCTTTTCCATATTTGCGAATACTGAGTGCTATGGATGATCTACATGGAGAGTTTCGAGGGTCAACATCCTCAGGAACCAAGCATCCTGATCAACTAGGCAACTGGTGATATCCGCTTTAAGTCCAGCATAAGTGCCACAGCCCAACTGATCAGGCACTGACCTAAGAAATACAGCCTCTTCTCACTTAACGACGGAGTTCTGCTCCTAGGACCACGTCAGTAAATGAATTCATCGCTAAGAGAGGAACATAATATAATGGTAGTGGTTTTGTGTCATCCATCTCTGATATAGTTTTACTGTCACCTTTGCACCAATTATAACATTTCTGGTATAATTTTAAATGTTTATATAATAGTGTACTGTATATTGCAATAAATAGAACAGAGGAAATCAGGTCTCATATACATGTAGGTATGCATACTGGTCAGAAAGCCCGTTGTATGTCCGAGTCATCTGTAAACGAGTATGTCGCTAAGTGAAGAGAGATATACTGGTAATTTCCCTTTATGTATGAAGGGAGGGCATTGAAAAGTCTTAGCCTCTTCATACTGAATTTTTTCTTAGAGTATTTATTGCTTTTTTGCTTTTAATTTGTGATATTTGCACCAACTGCAAAGCCTCTTATTTGTGGAGAACAATTTGCATGTGCAGATTTGGAACCAATCCTCCTAGAATTTTCCAGAGAAATTGGTCCTAAATCTACACACAAATACTTAACATTTATTACGCTTTACAGAATTCATAATCACAAAGTTTAACTACTTTTTTAAACTGAGCTAAAACAAAGATTAAAACATAACATTAACTTTCTTTTAAACCAGACAGTTATAGTATCAAGTAACTATTTAATAAATGTCACAGTAACACAAGCTATGCAAGTAAATGTAAGGCCAGCCTTCAGAAATCTAGTCAAGCATGGCTTGGTCACTTTTCACCCTATGTGTACTACTAATCCTTGATTAAACAGTAATACAGAAGTGTGAAGCCTTCACCTAGCCAACTACACACAAAAATGTAAAAGATAGGGCATACAATACTCCCAGACATAGCCACGATAAACAAGATAGATATTTGAATAGAACACCCTGCCTCGGTGGGAAACGGCCGACTTGTTGAAAAAAAGAAAAAAAAAAAAAAAAAAAAAACTAGAAGAAGAACACATACATGGACACATACTTAACCAAGTCAAAGACACATCAACAAACTTAGCTGAAGATATGGAATGAGCTAAATTTTGGCAGAACAGGCTGACTTCATGCAGAGGTTCCAACAAATACAACAGCTAATTCAACTAATCAAACTAAAGTTAAGATGCAGAGCCGCCATGAGCAACAGCTTACTTGACAAACCCTACATGCTATTATATAGCTTTTAGTATAAAATACAGTTGACATTAAGTCATTTTAATTCCCGTTTATAGCCTTAGATTCTGATTTTACAAAAGTTTTGTTTAGAATGGTATAGAACTGTAAATTCAAATGAATCCAAGAAAAGTTAAAATAATGAGTCTGAAATAAATTACAAGCCTGCAAATCAGTAATGAAAACATGAAATACAGTGATCCCTCACTCAGCATGAGTTACAAAACTAAAAGACAGAAAAATCTCACTACACATAGGAAAAGAGTTTATTTCAAACACTGCAAACATGATGAAGTCACTGAAGCATTGTTATTAATGATCACATATTGGTGTTCGTCACGAGGTTAAGATTATGCACGTTAGGACGTAAATTAAAGATGACAAGAAACTACATGCATACCCCTATACATGCAAAAAGCTAAATACATACATACATATACCCCCACACAAACCAAACACAAAAAATTAAACACACACACACACACACACACAAAGTAAGAACTCTTATAGAATGTCTGTTGAAAAACTTGCTATAAAACAAAAAATACATATGAGCAGTAAGGTAAATCATAAAAGATTATTAGTTAAATTGTACTTTACAATGAATGTTATAGACCCATACTAGCTGCTGCCATGGTTGGTGTGTTTCTGGAAGGCTGTGGAGGTTGTTGCTGCTCAGCTCTGCTTTTGTTGGGGTCGTAATTTACAGGGTCTCCTATTTTGCCTCCCACTTCATTACCTGGTCGATCCACCGTCAAGTCAAGGATGATGAGTACCTTAAAAATAAAAACCAACCACCGTAACTTAAGCTAGCATAATTTTTTTTTTTAACATGTCAGCCGTTTCCCACTGAGGCAAGGTGACACACAAAGAAAGAAAAACCCAAAAAGAATGAAAAAAACTTTCAACATCATTCAATACTTTCACCATCACTCATACATAATAACCAACTGCAGAGGCGCTCAGATATGACAGTTTAGATGTCCCTCCAAACTGCCAATATCCCAAACTCCTCCTTACAGGATTCATATTAAAAACAGTTTATGCAATTTTCATAAAGAAAATGTGCATCAAACTATACTAACCCTTTAACTGGGGGAGGTCATAATTTGCTAGTGAGATTCTAGGAGGCAAATACTGTTTAGGGGTAAACTTACTGGTCTTAATTACACAAAAAAAATATTAAAATAAAACTATCCTAGTGCAACACTCCCTCAAACTCCCAAACAGCATTCAGGTAGTGGTCAATACCACAATTAATAAACCCAGGTTAGAACCACAAGGTCAAATAAACTCTCCTTTAGGAAAATAAACAAACAGTATATACAACATAAATCTGCCATATTCTCCTTCATTACTTCTCACAAAACCTTAGTTTACACACTTAAATTCTTACTAGGTGATTAAAATAATGCTGTAAGTAAAAACAAGCTATTTTTTTTTTTGTTCTCTCCTTCCTTCACACATGCTCAACTAAAACAACAGGGACAGGCACCTCTTGGGGCTTACATAAGCATGAAATAAAGTCTACTTAAATTGTGATTTCTTTTATAAAGTACACAGATATTGTAGTTTACATTTAATAAAATAATATAAGGCACAAAAGAAAGCCACTAGTATGCAATATATTTTGGGCAAATTAAACTTAATGCTTATTGACTACTTCAAAACTAGACATAGATCATTAGTAAGTAGGATTTCTTATTCAGTTAACTACAATTAAATGTGCAAAAAAAAAGAGTGGTAGATAAATAAAGAATGGTACAATTTTAAAAATATACCTTAACATTTCAAACTGATTCAATGATCTTCAGTAAACAGGATTTCTTAAACAATTAACTATTATATGCACAATAAGGAAGGTTTTCGTTGTATTTATGGATTTGAAAAAGGCATATGATAGGGTGGATAGGGGAGCAATATGGAAGATGTTACAAATGTATTTAATAGGTGGAAAGTTACTGAAAGCAGCTAAGAGCTTTTACAGCTACAAGTTTTTACAAGGATAGTGAGGCTCAGGTTAGAGTATGTAGGAGAAAGGGAGATTATTTCCCAATAAAAGTAAGCCTTAGACAGGGATGCATGATGTCACCATGGTTCTTCACTATATTTATAGATGGGGTTGTAAGAGAAGTGAATGTTCAGGTGTTGGGAAGAAGCGTGGGATGAAAAGAAAAAGAATCTAACACAGAGTGGAAGCTGTCACAGTTGCTTTTTGCTGATGACATTGTGCTTCGGGAGGTCCTGAAGAGAAGTTGCAGAAGTTGGTGGACGAATTTGGGAGTCCTGGAAATAGGAAGTACAATGCCTGCACTCTAAAGGAGGGGTTTTGGGATATTAGCAGTTTGGAGGGATATGTTGTGTATCTTTATACGTATATGCTTCTAAACTGTTGTGTCCTGAGCACCTCTGCAAAAACAGTGATTATGTGTGAGTGAGGTGAAAGTGTTGAATGATGATGAAAGTATTTTCTTTTTGGGGATTTTCTTTCTTTTTTGGGTCACCCTGCCTTGATGGGAGACGGCCGACTTGTTAAAAAAAAAAAAAAATTAAAATAAAATAAAATAAAATAATAATAATACAGTGGACCCCGGGTTAACGATATTTTTTCATTCCAGAAGTATGTTCAGGTGCCAGTACTGACCGAATTTGTTCCCATAAGGAATATTGTGAAGTAGATTAGTCCATTTCAGACCCCCAAACATACACGTACAAATGCACTTACATAAATACACTTACATAATTGGTCGCATTGGGAGGTGATCGTTAAGCGGGAGTCCACTGTACTAATTATAATAATAGGTAGCTAATGTACAAGTGGTACAATTCTAAAAGTATGATTTATTTCAAACTGCTTCAATGTCTTCAGTTTTGAGGAGTGATTCAATAGAGATAGTGAAGATACAGGTGGTTACTTACAGTAAAAATATTATGGAACAAGATGAGTAATTTATTTTCTACAGGAGTTGGAGGAAGACTGGAAAAAGAACAGGGACAGAACTGGATGAGCTGGTTTTGTTTCCCACAGCATAATGCTGGTTTAGTTACATTGGGAAGACAAGGTGCTTTTTAACAATAGCAGTAAATCAATTGGCAGACAGGAGGCCGTTTGATGCATCAGGCAATGAATTCCAGATCTTGGGGCATTTTATGCCACTGAGCTTTGGCACAGGTTGAGTTGGAGATGGGGGATATCAAAGAGGGTTACGTTTTACATTATGCCTGTGTTCTGTTGCAGCTATCAAGGAAAAGTTTTAAGAGGGTTTATGGGAGAGTTTATTGTTCTTTAGTACAGTGGACCCCCGGTATTCGATGTCATCGGTGTTCGATAAATCCTGTTTTCGATGCATTTTAACACAAAAAATTTTCCTCGGTATTCGATTGAAAACCCGGTATTCGACATGATTCGTACGAGACCTGTCCACGTGTAGCCTGAACTGCCCCGTGTGTGCTAGTGTTTACAAGCCAGCCAGTGTGCGCGCATCGAAGGATACATTCGGTACATTCCATATTATCACTGTGTTTGGTGCTTGTTTCTGCAAAATAAGTCACCATGGGCCCCAAGAAAGCTTCTAGTGCCAACCCTTCAAGAAAAAAGTCGCTAATGACTTATGAAATGAAAGAGATAATTGCAAAGTACGAAAGTGGAGTGCGTGTGTCGGAGCTGGTCAGGTTGTATAATAAACCCCAATCAACCATCTCTACTATAGTGACCAGGAAAACGGCAATCAAGGAAGCTGTTCTTGCAAAAGGTGCAACTGTGATTACGAAACAGTGACCGCAAGTGTTAGAAAATGTTGAGAGATTGTTATTGCTGTGGATAAATGAAAAACAGATAGCAGCAGATAGTATCTCTCAAGCGATCATTTGTGAAAAGGCTAGGTAGTTGCATGACGATTTGGTAAAGAAATTGCCAGGAACTAGTGGTGATGTGAGTGAATTTAAGGCCAGCAAAGGTTGGTTTGAAAGATTTAAGAATCGTAGTGGCATACATAGTGTGATTAGGCATGGTGAGGCTGCCAGTTATGTTGTGCGACAGAAGTCCAGTGACTCTCAAGCTGGTCCTAGTGGCATTAAAAGAAGAAGGGAAGTAACCCCGGAAAAGGACTTGCTACCTCAAGTCCTAATGGAAGGGGATTCCCCTTCTAAACACTAACACCTCTCCCCTCCTTCCATCCCATCAATCATCACCAGATCTTCATTAAAGGTAAGTGTCAATTATTTTATTGTTATTGTAATTATTCTATTGCATTAAACTTAGTATTTCATGTAGTAAAAATTTTTTTTTTTCATACTTTTGGGTGTCTTGCACAGATTAATTTGATTTCCATTATTTCTTATGAGGAAAATTGATTCGGTTTTCGATATTATCGGTATTCGATGAGCTCTCAGGAACGGATTAATATCGAATACCGGGGGTCCACTGTATATATATATATATAGCAGGTATGCAGTAATACAAGTGCATATTTTGTGTACTAAGTTAGTTCAAGCTTTTGAAGAGTGGGGTTGGGGGGGGAGTGTTGCTGTCTGGCACTGGAATGGGTGACAGATCGTACAGAGGCTCTTTGTTGGGTTATTAATGGTTTTAGGTGATTTGGTGTAGTAGATCCCAAAACACAAATACCTTAAGAGAGGCAAGGGTAGATCAGACAGTAGTATAATGTAAGAAGTGTTTGAAGTACACTATATCACTAACAATAAATAATAAATGTAAATCCTAACTTCTACAGTCCATTCTCTCATTAAAATGGCATTTATAGTTAACTTTAAATGATTCACCAAAAGCATTCTTAAAATTTAATCATGTACAATACAGTATATACAATCTTACCTTCTTATTATCTTGAACAGTATTACAAATGTAACGTTTCAGTGTGATTATGCAGTTATTGGAGATCTCACCAGAGCCAACCATGCTATTGAGCTGTGTGGCTAACATAGCAAAGCTGCTTGTCCAGTGGCCATCTGACAACAGTAGGCGGTAGCGCTCTTGAGCACCACTAGGAATGCGCTTCATGGACTGCATGAAATTTATATTATGATAATAGGATATTAATAAAATACGTAAATATTTATATTTGATTCGTCTTACGTATATGTATCATCAAATTCCAAAAAACATATCTAAAAGTAGTCGAGACTTCAAAAATTTCACCAATATTGCACAATTAAAATTACATACTGAATTACCAAATACAGTGTCATTACTAACAAAAAATTACATACCAATATCTGAAGAACTGGATTCTCTGGATGAGCCCCCTCAACAATATCCTGAAAATATATTTCTAATGAACATTAAAGCTAAACTTGAAGTCAAAATGAAAATGCAGCACCATATTGAGCTGGCGTTAGGAGTGGTGTTATGTGGGTTGTGGGCTGTCAGTGTCCTAGGAGACCCCCAGTTCAATACACAGCTAGAAATGATAAGCATTTTATGCCAACAGACAGCCAAGCGGCAAGAGTTATGGCTGCTGTCAGACCAGCTAGGGGTTGCATCCTCTGCTGGAAAAAATTATACAGGTGTCCCTCAACATTCGCGAGGGTTAGGGGATCAAGAGCCTCGCGAATGTTGAAAAACCGTGAATGTTTGGTGCCCCAATATATTGTAGGGAAATATAATACAATACTGCTTAACTTGTTTGAACCATGAACAATCATAAAAATACATGAAAACGTCGTAAATTGTACTAAATATATACATGTTGTGCTTTAATAACATGTATGTTATTAAATACCACAGACTCCACCACTGCCTCCATCAATGCCTCCACCACTTCCTCCACCACTGCGAGTCCCTACTACCCTCCCACCGACCCCCGCAACTGGCAGCCAGCCCTCCCACCACTCAGTGTGGTGAGTGTTTGTTTGTTCATTATTTGCTATTAAACTACAGTATAAATAATGTAAACACATTCATGACTGCATATTGGAATGGCTATTTGAACAGGTATTGGACGGTGACATCATGTGTTTACTCTTGAACACAGCAAAGAATCAAACATTTCTGCTACTGCTAATAATAACAATAGTAATAATAATAATAATAATAATAATAATACGATATAATTGAAGGAGGAAATTGTACAAAAATACGAGGGAGTGGTTGACACATCTTCAGTGTGCTTTGTTTATGCTGGAGTGAACATTAATCTCCCTGCTCTTCCAAACATTTCACAATAATTCAGCAGTTGAGGCAGTGGTAGAGGCAGTGGGTGAGGCAGTGGTATTTACTAACATATACGTATGTTATAAATAATAATAGTACATGGTAATATTAATAACATTTATAATAATAATAATAGTTATTCATAATGTACTATTATTATTTATAACATATATGTTAGTAAATATCACTGCCTCTACCACTGCCTCTACCACTGCCTCAACCACTCCAGTCGCACTCAATCTACAAGCACTAAACAATGAATTATTGTGAAATGTTTGGAGAAGCAGGGAGACTAATGTTCACTCCAGCATAAACAAAGCCACACTGACGATGTGTCAACCACTCCCTCGTATTTTTGTACAATTTCCTTCTTCAATTATATCGTATTATTATTATTATTATTATTATTACTATTGTTATTATTAGCAGTAGCAGAAATGTTTGATTTTTTGCTGTGTTCAAGAGTAAACACATGATGTCACCGTCTAATACCTGTTCAAATAGCCATTCCAATATGCAGTCATGAATGTGTTTACATTATTTATACTGTAGTTTAATAGCAAATAATGAACAAACAAAACACTCACCACACTGAGTGGTGGGAGGGCTGGCTGCCAGTTGCGGGGGTCGGTGGGAGGGTAGTAGGGACTCGCAGGTGGCGGGAAACTTGAATATGATTTGGCGGCTGGGAATTTGGTGGCTGGGAATTTGGCGGTTGGGAATTCGTGAATGTGTGAAGCCCGCGAAAGCTGAAAATGTGAATGTTGAGGGAGACCTGTACTGTACTTTTCTTTTTACACAAATCAGTTTTACAGGCTAAGAGTTGTTATCCACTTTATGAATTATGATAAGTAAGGTTATTCAGGTATTTATTATTTATTATCACACTGGCCGATTCCCACCAAGGCAGGGTGGCCCGAAAAAGAAAAACTTTCACCATCATTCACTCCATCACTGTCTTGCCAGAAGGGTGCTTTACACTACAGTTTTTAAACTGCAACATTAACACCCCTCCTTCAGAGTGCAGGCACTGTACTTCCCATCTCCAGGACTCAAGTCCGGCCTGCCGGTTTCCCTGAACCCATTCATAAATGTTACTTTGCTCACACTCCAACAGCACGTCAAAGTATTAAAAACCATTTGTCTCCATTCACTCCTATCAAACATGCTCACGCATGCCTGCTGGAAGTCCAAGCCTCTCGCACACAAAACCTCCTTTACCCCCTCCCTCCAACCTTTCCTAGGCCGACCCCTACCCCGCCTTCCTTCCACTACAGACTGATACACTCTTGAAGTTATTCTGTTTCGCTCCATTCTCTCCACATGTCCAAACCACCTCAACAACCCTTCCTCAGCCCTCTGGACAACAGTTTTGGTAATCCCGCACCTCCTCCTAACCTCCAAACTACGAATTCTCTGCATTATATTCACACCACACATTGCCCTCAGACATGACATCTCCACTGCCTCCAGCCTTCTCCTCGCTGCAACATTCATCACCCATGCTTCACACCCATATAAGAGCGTTGGTAAAACTATACTCTCATACATTCCCCTCTTTGCCTCCAAGGACAAAGTTCTTTGTCTCCATAGACTCCTAAGTGCACCACTCACCCTTTTCCCCTCATCAATTCTATGATTCACCTCATCTTTCATAGACCCATCCGCTGACACGTCCACTCCCAAATATCTGAATACATTCACCTCCTCCATACTCTCTCCCTCCAATCTGATATCCAATCTTTCATCACCTAATCTTTTTGTTATCCTCATAACCTTACTCTTTCCTGTATTCACTTTCAATTTTCTTCTTTTGCACACCCTACCAAATTCATCCACCAATCTCTGCAACTTCTCTTCAGAATCTCCCAAGAGCACAGTGTCATCAGCAAAGAGCAACTGTGACAACTCCCACTTTATGTGTGATTCTTTATCTTTTAACTCCACGCCTCTTGCCAAGACCCTCGCATTTACTTCTCTTACAACCCCATCTATAAATATATTAAACAACCACGGTGACATCACACATCCTTGTCTAAGGCCTACTTTTACTGGGAAATAATTTCCCTCTTTCCTACATACTCTAACTTGAGCCTCACTATCCTCGTAAAAACTCTTCACTGCTTTCAGTAACCTACCTCCTACACCATACACCTGCAACATCTGCCACATTGCCCCCCTATCCACCCTGTCATACGCCTTTCCAATCCATATATGCCACAAAGACCTCTTTAGCCTTATCTAAATACTGTTCATTTATATGTTTCACTGTAAACACCTGGTCCACACACCCCCTACCTTTCCTAAAGCCTCCTTGTTCATCTGCTATCCTATTCTCCGTCTTACTCTTAATTCTTTCAATAATAACTCTACCATACACTTTGCCAGGTATACTCAACAGACTTATCCCCCTATAATTTTTGCACTCTCTTTTATCCCCTTTGCCTTTATACAAAGGAACTATGCATGCTCTCTGCCAATCCCTAGGTATAGGTGCACATAAATATTTGCATAAAAATCATACACAGCAGCATATGTATAGATTGCCTAGGATAACCCTCAAAAAATTCAAAATGACTTATTTCCATTGGGATCTTTGGTACAAACACTGAAAATTTCTATGTTGGCTGATATGAAGAAAGGAGGCGATATACATACAGTACAGTGGACCCTAGGTTATCGTAATTAATAAGTTCCACAGAATGTAACTAAAGCCGAATTTGACGATTTCCGAATTAATTTTCCCCATAAGAAATAACAAATCCAATTAATCCATTCCAGACACCCAAAAGTATTAAGAAAAATATTTTTTTACATGAAATATACATTTACCTACACAGAAAACAATGAGACATGAATAAAACAATAATAACACGACTTTCCTTTATTGAAGACTCTTCTTAGTGTATTGAAGACAGGAGGAGGGGAGAGAATGGAGAAATTACTGTTTGGAAGGGGAATCCCCTTCCATAAAGACTTCAGGTACCAAGTCCTTTTCCAGGGTTACTTCCATTCTTTGTTTTTTAATGCCCTGGGACCAGCTTAGTCCGACCCCTGTCGCTCAAAAAAGTTTTCCAAAAGGGGTCGTTTCGGTGTATGTTGGGAATTGTTGGCAGCAGGGGTGTGGGGGAGACAAAAAAGATGTCTTCAATACAACCCGAGGTTATTTATTTAGCACAATCCATCTAAAGACAAAAAATATTAATAACAAAGAAGCATGCATAACCTAAATAAAAAAAAATGTCTTTAAATATATAAAAGTGTTTTTGTTTGCTTGCTGTTGGTGTAAAAAGGGCCACAAAAGATAACCCTTACATAGTGGTGGGGATGCGGCAGAAAGGGGGAGGGGGTTTTTAGTCATCCCCTATTTACCTCCAACAACATGAGGAGGGGTTTTTCGTGCTGTTTTTTTCTATGAAATCTCTTAACTTATTTGCTACACTGTTAGTGCAACACTTTATTGTTGGCTGGCGCAAAGCCTTTATCGACTCCTGCTCTTTAGTATCAACATAGGAATCACTAAAAGGGGCACATTCTCCCCCTCTCTCGTCCTTTCCCAAAAGGGCTGGCGGGCACTAGGAACTTTTTTGGGGGCCCATGGGGCAAGCGGCAGACTCAATGTTGCTGTCACTGACATCCATGCCAACTTCTCGCCTCAACCCGGGTAATACTGATCCAAAAAAAAATTTTTTTTTATCCATAAACTTAGAAAAATGTGCTCTATTTTTCAAAAAAAAAAAAACTTTTTTTTTTATTTTCAAAATTTTTGGGGTCACTGGGATGAACGTAATAACATTTGGACCTTTTATGGTTAAACATTTTAAACACAAAAAACGAAGGGAAATAAACAAAAATGCATGCAAACGCGGGGGGATTGTGCTCACTGGCCGATAAACAAGGCACACTGAGTGGGGGGCTGCTGTTGCCGTGCAGACGCATTCAGATAAATGACTATTACCGAGCCAAATGATAAACCCAAATATTTTGAAGAAGAAAAAAGTTACGATTTCTAAACATTAAAATCACCTACCATCCACTTTGCCCGATTTTGGGTTCCGAAAACCGTTCAAAGTCGAAATGTCGTAATTTTGAACTTTACTACTAA